GCAAGAGTGATATTGTGGGGAAAAGTCATGATGATGTTTTCTTGGATGATAAAAATGCTTAAGAAGAATAAGAGAAGGTATAATGAGGATTATCAAGGCTGATACAACGACGAATCGCTTAAAATGGATTTTATTTTTAACAAATAGGTTAAAATCAATAGATTTTGAAAATCTTGATTGTAAAAACTCAAAATTTTCATTTAAAGAAGATTCAGGGAGGAAATTGAAGTCCAATTCTATCGAGTTCCAACGATTGGTAGAAGGAAGAAGGCGACCGGCCTAAGATATTGTATGAACATATTGAAAAGAATTGAACTTTTCTGAGTTTGACATAGTTTAGTTTTTGTTAAGTTTAGAGAAAATGGTCTAAAACCCCCCAACTTATATCTGAAATCCCAACTACACACTCCAACTTTACGGGAGTCCTATCACCCACCTAAATTATTTAAAACTGTAATAATTACGCCCCTAAAACACCATAACCAGATCTGTGTTGGCCTGTGAACTTCACGCATTTTACAGGTGAAAATTCAATTAATTTATTATTTTTTTTCAATTTTTTTATAATTCCTTTCCACTTTTTCCTATACTCTCCCAATTTCTTAAAATCTCTAAGGTAATTTCTTCCCCCAATTCTTTCAAATTCCTATGGAATTGTGAGGAACAAAGATGAATATTGATAGCGGGAGCTTGTCAAGCGATATTCGAGTTTTGCTTGTCGGAGAACATTGAAAAATAATCTAAAAGGATCTGTTTTACTTGCTTCGCCGGAGCTCGCTGGTTGGAGCAGTGCAGCCGCAAGGTTTTGTTGTTGTTGTTGTTGTTGTCGACCTTGTTGTGAGAACAGATGTAGGTCTTTATGGTTGTTGTCTCAGAATGAGAGAGAGATAAGAGGAGAGCGAGGTTTTGTTGGTGGTTTGGATTTCGCCGGAGGCGGCGACAGTGGTGGCTGATGGTCGAGCAGCAAAAGAGGGAGAACAAACGAAAGCACTAGCAATGCCATTAATGGAGGTCAATTGAGATTGAATCCTTTCATTGATTAATTGGGGAAGATGACTATTTTCTCAGAAATTTTCATCAAAATTCACCTTCTAACGCGCCTAGAGAATGTAAGAACACCTCACATGACAGGTCAGCACTTAGTTGTGTATAAAATAGAGAATTATAAAGTTCAGGTGGGTAATAGGACACCCATAAAGTTGGAGTGTGTAGTTGGGATTTCGGGTATAGGTTGGGGGGTGGGGGGGTTTAGACCATTTTCTCTTAAGTTTATGAAAGAAAATGTGCAATGATTATGATAATTGATAATGATAAGCGATGACAATAGCGGTGGATTGATGGAATTAGTGAACTGTTGGAAAAACGCGGACAAATACAAAAATATATATGGTAAAAGTAATGAAAATAAAATGGGAAAATAATGACACCAAGAATTTTACGTGGAAACCCTTCTAAATAAGGGAAAAACCACGGGCCAAGAGGAGCAACTGATATCACTATAGTAAGGAATTTTACACTGTGTAGTCACGAATACAATACTCAAAGTGACTACAACACACTCAAAAAGAATAACACACTTTTGATTTCCACCTTACTAAAATATCTCGCTCACACTCTATTTTTCTTCACAAACTATTTTCTTATATAGTCTATGGAAATCTCACAGCTCTCTAAATATTTTACTCTCTCTGTGAATTGGTGTATCAAATGAGGAGCTGAAGAGTTCCTTTTATAGATGCAATTGCATTGCACTATTCAAAAATCATGCCACCGAAAATTTGCATTGCTGCAAACTTTGTTGACAAAAGAAAAGGTTTGCAGCTATTGTTGACAAACAAATTCAGCTGCATTTTCTTTACAACAATTGCAGCCGCAATTGTTGACCCAAAAACTCATGGGATGGACCCCACATGAACTACCATCTTTAATTTTATTTTTGATAGACACCTTTACATATTTTAATCATTAATAACCATTAAATAGTTGTAACATCAAAAAATCAAATGCACTTGATGGTTAAAAACCGAATTATTAAGAACTAGACCTAAAAATTAAATAAATTTAGTGACTGAGATCTCAATGATTATGATTAAAATTAAGACTTTCATTAAGCATAAACAATGATATCTTATTCCAATCTTAAAATCAAATGAATTTAATGATTGCTATCAAAATTATAAGATTTAAAGTTTAATTGTAATGACCCGGACCTGAAAGGTCATTTTTTGATAATTTTGAATAGTCATTTAACAATAGTTAATTAATTTATGGGTAATTTATTTATTATTACTAATAATGGGTCAAATCTGAAATATTAAAATAGGTTAGTAGAAACTATTACTTTTAATACATAATTAATTTAGAAAAGAAAATAAAGAGAAGAAAGGAAATTAACCTGTGCGCGGACGCAACGTGAACACAAAGGACGAACTGCTCCTCTCCTGTAAGGCAATTTCAAGTTAAATTTACAGATTTGCTATGGTTGCATTAATTGCTCTTGCAATGCCTGCATTAATTGCACATCATATATATATATATATATATATTATAATAATAATGTTTGAGAATTAGATTGATTTTAGGGTTATACTTTTAGCGTACTGTTTCTTCTTTTCCTTTTTAAATGAGTTTTATAATCCTATCATTATAAAATTTGTAGAAAATTGATGTATGCTATTGACAGATTTTCTGAAAAATTAAAGTTAGTCTTTTGCACTTTTCTGTAGTTGAAGTTACTGGGTCCGTAACTTGGATTTGATTTTTGAATTTTTTTATAGTTATTGCATTATAATTCAAGTTCTGACATATTGGGATGGCTAATTAAATATAAGATGTATTATATTATATGAAACCTATTAGGGTTGAAGTGTATGGAGAAATTATGACTTAACCCTAGGTTTGAAACTTGAAAAATATGATAATTGGAATGTTAGTTGACATCAAGATTTTTGGAACTTGATTATAAACTTGGGTGAATTTTTGGAACTTGATTATAAACTTGGGTGAATTATTGGGTCAAGGCTAAACACATATATAGTAATATGAGTGTTGTTAGTATTCAGAATCTTATCGTGGTTACTTATTTGAATAGATTGCTTTGAGTTGGAAGTTCAACGAGATGGGAAGACTCGAGACCCGGAGTGATTGTTCAATTAATTAAGACAAGTGTATTTCTAAACTCTTGTTAAGTGTATGAAATTCGTGTATTTCCTTGTGGTATGTGTTTTGGAGTAATGGGACTTGGTGAAGGGTTGACTTGTCCACCTTGATTAATTCTAATGATGAAAATGCGTAATAAAAGGCAATGTGCTTAATTGTTTGTGTGTGATGTGTTGAGAATGGTATGAGTACCGGTGTTATAAAGGAAAAGTTTATTACTATAGAATGCGGATTTTAATTCGAGAATGCCAAAGCATATGAGCATTAGCTGATATATTATTGACTTGATTTATTATGTGTGATTGTGTTCTTTACAGAAGCCGTATAATTGTGATAATTGAGGTGATTATATGTCATAGCGACATTTGATTTATTGAGATGTTGCATCATTCCCTTTAATTGATATCATATTGTGCACATGCATTGACATGAGATTGGGTATGAGTAAAGGTCTAACACGTGGAGATCGTCCGTGTTGAGATCGAGTATGATTATAATTTGGGCACGTGGAGATTGTCTGTGCGAGGAATTGATTATGATTATAAGTTGGGCACGTGGAGATCGTCCGTGCTGGGAATTATTTGATTTTATGATAGTGCGTTGAGACCGTCCGCACAGACACGTGGAGATCGTCCGTGTCGGTATATGGACCTCGCGAGTTCCCCATGGATCATGAACTCTTGATGTATTTCCGAGGAGTATTATGTATATACGGTTGAGAGAGTACTTAGTATTCTGAGGCATTCATTTCATGGTGTCATATTGCATTGCATCCCATGACATCATTCATTCTTGATGATTTGTGTTTATTTGGTGGTTGGAAAGTACTTGATATTTGATTACCAATATTTGATGAACTTGATCTTGTGTGTTGCTGATATTGTGAGTGCCCTTTTTGTGAAAGTTTTGATTGATGAATATTGAGTTTGTTGTTGAGGATATGTAATTGGTTAAAGTGATTGTTGTTGAGCTGGGTGCTATGTACATTGTGAACTGTTAGATTGGGCTGGTTTTATGCAGGTTGTAGTTGTGGAGGTTTAGTTGGTGTGTAAGGAGTACCCGTATTTTATTCCCTTAGCTTGTGTTTAGAAGTTTACTTGCTGAGTACCGTGTGGTTTGGTACTCACCCCTTGCTTCTACATTTTTGTAGGTTACTAGCTTGGACCTTTGTGATATTTTCTCCTCTCCTTATCTGAGGCTTCTTATGGAGGTTTGTGAGGTAGCTGCTGGTCATTTCAATGGACCTTCTTACTCCTATTTATGATCTTGCTCTATTCTAGAAACAATGTCATTTGAAACTTGTGTTTTTCTTTTGAATCAATTGTAATACTTTAGAGGCTTGTACACGTGACAACCAGGTTTTGGGGTTTTAATTAAGTTGACCTTGTTTTCCACAGTATTTTATAGTATTAGACTTTTATTCACGTTTTACTTCCGCATTCACTGTATTAGTTGGGTTTAGGCTGACTTGTTTTGATGGGATAAGACGAGTGTCATCACGTCCATTTTTGGATCGTGACATTTATTAAATACAAATAAATGAGACCTAAATCTTTTTACATTAAATACTAAATTGCATAAACAGGACTACAAGTACTAACAATCTTTCATAAGTATAATTAAAGATAATCAAATGTATAAAAATTGTAGTCAAGAGAACAAAAATATCATAGAACAGGAGTACTTTTTATTTGAAATATTAAACAAACCTTGTGCTTCAAAGGTAAGCTACACATTTTTAGTAAAATAATAAAACATAACCACATACATCTTGTAAATATAAGTAACATTTTGCAAGTAATAATTTATTCTTATTTCATAAAAGGACATGTTGAAGCAACATTGCTTTCTCCTTTCACAAGTCCTCCAAGCAATTCTCCTCTATCAAAAAACATATCTGCCTTTATAATCTTGTTACTCTCTTTATCCAACTGTTTCAACAAATTAACATTTAATTATATTTCACAAAATATATAAAAAAAATAAATTAAAAAAAAGTAAAGAAATGTAGATGGTTTTTTGTTAATTACTTCAAATGTGCCAATTCCAAAGAGCTCAACAAGTTGTCCAGTTGGAGCATGTCCTTTAAATGGAGCATCCATGTAACCCCAATGCCTAAATTTGTACACAATTCCTGGTGGTCCTGAATAAACATGGAGGATTTCGATCGCGAATCCTCGTAAAAATATCGATCTGAAAAGATTTTGTGATGATTCAAATGTTTCATCGTCAGGATTGTAGAGTCGAACATTTTCTGGTAATGAAGTTTGTAGGAATATATTGTAGCTACCACCAAGCTTTGCGGATTCTACTGGTGTCAAGCCCTTTCGGCCTGTAAAATTCTTTATTCTGTCGATCTATATAAATTAAATTCAAAATGTATTGTAGGGAGAATATATTTTCCTAATTGGTCATGGCTTTGAAAGCAGTAATAAAGGGAAAAGGAGAAAAAGATTAATGTTTCATGCATGAGAATAGCTTTCTTTTTTAATAAGAAATAAAATCATAGATTTAGGGTGTTTTTGGTATTTGATAAATAAGCAGAAAAAATAGTTTAAAAAAGCTTTTTCTTCATAATCTAAACAAATAATGTGAGAAGAATGGCGATGGGGTGGGTGTGCTGGAGAATGGGTATGAGTGCGGAGCTAGAAGTCCAATTATAGGTTCGGTCTAACTCATAGTTGTATCAAGAAGTTTATTTATTTAAAAATATACAAATATTTGATTTAGAACTCAGTCATAATCACTTAAAAATAATTATTTATATATATACCATATTATATTCCCACATGGATATGGACCATCCAACTGAATTGAATTGGTGATTCACGTGTTGTGTTTGTTTATTGAAGAAAAATAAAATGTAAGATTTCTTATACTCGTCATTCTCAAATTCAGAACTCATAAAATAAAATTTTACTCTACCTCTAACTTCACTTATGAAATTTCTTTTCTAAAGTCATTTTCCTCATCTTTTTAAGAAAAAAATATACCTAGAGAAAATGATTTTCCAAAAAATTACCAAACATAAAAAAATTGTAACAATATATTTTTGTCCGTATCAAATACACCCTTAGGTAAAGAGTAAGAGAAACTGTGAGAGAAGTGTACCATTAACACTAATTGTGAACTTGTTTGGATCCATAGTTTTGAGCTCATTTGGATCTGCCTTATGGACTATTTCCATTTCCCAAGTCATCAATAGCCGTTGCACTTTCTCTTCAACTGATCCTTCAGACCATACCTAAACATTTAAAACAGTAATCCACTATATATTATAATGTCAAAAATTTTATGTAGTAACAAAATGAATTGTTTAGTATTAAGGAAAATAATATATAGGCATAGATTTTTATAATTATGTAGCTAAGACATAAAAAATAATAATCTACATTATTATATTCACAAAAGTAATAAAAAATGAAAAGAAAACTTCTAAATACACTTCAACCAAGAAAAGAATAGCGACAAAAACAAATTGTTACATATGCATAAGAATAAGCAATGATGTCATATAATAATTTATTTCATCTTTAATTTTCTTTAAGAGAAAAATAAAATATAACTTATTCTCATAATTCTTTTGATTGAAATAAGATAGTTATATTAATTATGTTTTACAATAAAAAGTAGGATCATAGAGGACTAAATGAGTAATGTTGTCCGTATGTGTTACTTAATTAAGTTACTATATATTACAAGTCAAAGTAAAGAAAACATCTCTAGTAAAAGTAATTCCTAACTATGCTTCAAAAAATATTCTTCTAAGTCTTCCTTCAAGAAAACATACAATAAATAAATAAATAAAGGAGAAAGTAATACAATACAAGCATCACTTTTACAATTTCCATTATTAAATAAATATGAATTCAATAAATCAACTCATCAATTCAAAATAAATTATTTAATTAAAATAATATAAAACACAAAAAATATAAACAATTGTTAATATGGTACTGTTTTATGTATGATATTTATACTCCCATCATGTCAAATAAAAAAATAATTATATAAAATAAGGGAAAATAATACTTATCTTGATCAATTCACCCTTGCTAGAGTACTTTGAGAAAAATGATGTAGTCGATGTCTTGATCTTCTTGTGAATCTTCCAAGATGTTATGGAATTTTCAAGATGAAAGTGTTATGCAAATCCCATACTAGACTGCTCTACACCCTTGTAAGAGATCGGTTGAACATCCTCGATGCGGTCCAGCTGCAGGAAAGACCAATCGCAGATACAAATTAAAAGAGATTCCCGCCTCCGGGCTGGGGTTCCCCGCGGGGCTATTACACGTATTCCCCCGGGGGTAGCTACAAGCATAAACTGCATATAAGGGGAATTGAAACCCCCTCTGATGCTGGCGGGCAGAGACTTCTTAGGACCGATGTCCAGCGTCTTCCAATTAACATAGAATAGGGTTTTCACAACGACCTCCGTGGTGCGATTTAGATTCTCGTATTTTTTTTTATACCACTCAGGAGTTACAACTATACTCGTAAGTTATGAAATTATCAAGACTAAAATTAAAGGGTATGAGTAGTTATTATTTATAAATATATTAAATTAGAAAAACTTAAAATATTAGAAGTTATATTTGTCATTTTATAATAAGAAAAAGGGCACAAAGAAAATCTCGACGAAAAAAATGTCAAATAACTTGAGCATAAATTTAACTACCTTATACATGCTCTTAATAACAACAATTACATGAATAATGTAAAAATCAAGCTAAAAGATATCAAGAAAATATATAATAAATAAAAGAGAAAGTAATAAATACAAGCATCATTTTTACAACGTCCATTATAAAAAATAATATGAATTCAATAAATCGATTCATCGATTCATCGATTCTTCGAACCCTTATTGTTATCGGTATTCATTTCACAAGCCGGTCTTCATTGAAGAATTTTATTCTTCAAAATTAAAACATAAATATAATATAATTTTATTCTTCAAGATTTAAAATTTATATATATATATATATATATATATATATATATATATATATATATATATATATTACTACTTCAAATATGAAATAATAGAATGATCATATTTACAAAGATAAAATGATGGAATACCATAAGGTGTTTTAAATTTTAAATTAAATATTTAGGAGTTATGAATATGAAAAGTATAAGTTATGAATATTATTAAGAGTGAATATGGAATAAAGAAGAGAGAAAATAGTGCTTAACGTTTATAGTTACGTGGGAACTATTTCATGAAAATTGATATCAATCTTTGTTGTTTAAATGAATCTCAAGAAATAGTTTTAGATTTTCTAATAATTTATACAAATAGAAAAAAAAAAGTCAAAAATTTGAATAAAAAAATTAATGAAATTGGAATTTTTTTAACAATCATACCAATTTATTGTGTATAAGTTATTATATTAATTATTATATTTATTAATGAAGAATTGAGAAGTCTTAATTACATTCAATCATTCTACTTTAATTAAGAAAATAGGGGAAAATAAAGAAAAATATCAAAAATAAAGGAGAAAAAAAGATAAATATGAATGGTGGCCTTAGAGAGGTGTCACATCATCTTTTATATATATATTAGAACAAAAAAATTGTACTAACAATATTAAATTAACGTACTTGACTAAATAAGATAATAACTTTTTAAAATATTTACATATAAATAATAAATATTAGTTAATTTTAAATTTTGTTACTTTTTATAAAATTCAAGAGCGAGGTAAATGTTTTTATTCTATTGTTAAAAATAATAATAACATGGCATGACATTTCATTAGGAGTGAGGTTTATATTTTCTTTTACATCGCAATTCAATACTTTCTCCATCTCATATTAGTTGTGTTAGTTAGTTTATATATATATATATTAAATTACTTGTTTATTCATTAAATTAAAATAAAATTAGTTAAATTTTTTTCTCACTTTATCCCTACAATTAATACTCTTAAGGAAAATTATAAAAATAATAATTTAACTATAAAATAATGGATTTATTAAATATTTTGAATTTCATGAAAATTAGTAATGTTATTCTCAACATGGAATATAATTATTGAAATTGTAAACTATTATTATTATTTTGTAGAGGTATTAATTAATCAATAAATTAATAAATATTACTTTAAAGAATATTTTTAAAATTTAATGAATATACCTTATTTCCCCCCTTAAAAACAAGTGATATTAAAAAGGAAGAACAATGAAAGATAAAAATAATTGGAAGAATAAACTATAATAAATGCTTCTTGGGTAGTGTTTTTTATTGAGAAGGAAATTTTTTTTGGGCAGTATAATTTCTTGAAACCATCTAATGGTTTAAGACTTTTCTTTTAGTAGTTTTATTTTGGAGGGTACTTTGGGTACAAGAAATAAATGAATTTACCCAATCACCCTTCCCATTTCTCAGAAATTACAACATTACCTGAAATTAACTGCTCGTGCCAATTCCTACCAAAAATGTGTCCTGCCAAATATATTTTCCGTTAAAAAAAATTATGCTTATGATCTAATGGTATCTAGCCCTGCAGTACGTCTGCACGTACTATGATAAATGTTCCATTTTTATTTTATTTTAATCTCCAATTAGTTGGATTGAATATACTAGGTAATACTCTCCCGTCCCATTTTATATGTCACATTTTTACTTTGCACTCGCATTAAGAAATTATGTAATTTTATCTTTCTACCCTTATTTAATGTTTTCTTAAGTCAACTTTATTAATAAATGACAAGATTAATTAACTATTCTATCAAGGGTATAATATGCAAAATATGGAAATTTATACATAAATTTTATAAAATGACAAGTATTGTGGTCCACCTATTTATAGAAAGGGATGACATATAAAATGAGACGGAGGGAGTAGTAACATATTCATGTATTACTTTGTATATAAGTTATTTAAGGTTTGGTAATTAATTATAAAAGAAATAATTTATGTATAAAATTAATATGATGTTTGATTTGATAATGTCACGATTCGAAAATGTACGTGATGACACTCATCTCATCCCACCAGGACAAGTCAGCCTAAAACCCAAACAATACGGTGGAAATACAGAAGATAAACTATCAATAACACAAATGCGGATAACTTAGTCAATCTATAAATACCCTTAAAACTTGGCTGTCATGTGTATAAGTCACTTATGTATTACAAATGAATTGAAAGAAATACAAGTCTCAATGTCTTTGTTTCTAAAGTAAGAACAAGAACATAAATAAGGAACAAGAAGGTCTGCTGAGGTGACAAACAATTACCTCTCAAGTCTCCACCCTCGCTCGAAGTAGAGAAGAAGAATGATCACGTAGATCTGAACTCGTAACCTACACTAGAAGCAAGGTGTGAGTACTAAACAATACAATATTCAACAAGCTAACCACTAAACACAATGTAAAGCAAATAGAATACGAGTACTCCTTTCATCCCAATCGAACCTCCACAAACTTCAATTTGCACAGAGTTCAGCCCAACTTAAAAGTTCACAATTGCAAGTAACACATAGTTCAATAGCAATGCCTCAACAATTACAGATCAACCACAATCAATTATCAAGTTCATCAATCAAAGTTTCCAACAATTCCCACACCTCATAACAAAACATATAAGAAATAACTCAAATCGCATCTCAACACAAATAGTCTATTATAACAATAGTCCACAATCAATAGTCTCAACAATATAGAATCAATAATCATAATTCATGAAATGTGATGCAATGATGTGCAATGTCATGTGGAATGATGCATGTCTGTCTTACGATACACATCCACTGAATTTCATATCGAAATTCATGGGGAAACACAAGATATATGTACCCGTCGGAACAAAACATGGACATCAATATCACTTGCCAGAATCATTTTCCATCGCCATCAATATCACTCGTCGAAATCATTTTCCATCGGCAAAATCACAATAGATCTTGTCACAATGTTTCAGATCTAATGCAAATAGGCATGTTTACACCATAATGAAGAAGTGACAATTCCATATCATTCCCAATCACAACAATACAATTATAGTGTTTCAACAATAATGGACCAATACTACCACTCAAGTCATTCATCGTATACCACACAAAATTACCAACACATTGCCTTATTCCCCTTATTATCATTAAGATCAATTGATGTGAACAACTCAACCCATCACCAATTTTCATTACTCTCCAATACATACAATAAGAAAAATACAAGATTCT